ACTCATTGCACATTGCATATTCAGGGTATAAACAAGGCCATTGCTGCACCCATACAACTGTGATTTTAGTAGGCAATGCTAGTATGATCTTAATACATTTTCAATCCAGAACAAGTCGTCTGTAAATAAGATCAAGTATAGACTAGATTATGTCCTTCAGTGTCCCTAATGGCGTTCATCAGATTAATAGGAAATAGTGCTCGTGTTCTTGAAAAGGACAGAAAAATAATGACTAAAAATGGAAGAAGGAAGAGAGCGAGAGGATAAAACCATCACAAGGTCAAGAAAAGATAAAGCCTTTCAAAGCTTCATTTATCTGTGAAACCGCTGAAGCAATAAAACATTGAACGTAGGTGGTACCCACAGAGAAAAATATCTTTATAATGCATAAACAAAAGTATAAAAATGGATTGATGCATTAACTACAGCGAACATGTTGTAGATAAAAGGGGAGAGATATATAGAATTAACCACTGATATGGTCGGCCCAGTGCAAACAATTGCATTCTTGGGAAATGCAATGACAGAGTGTTAATATTACACAATACTGTACGTAATGATCCAATATCACCAAACTGGTCAAAATACTGGGAAAATAGAATAATATCAGACATTTAGGAATACTTTTTTGTGCTATATAACACATGTTGATGATAGTGACTTATGACATTATGAAGGCTGCAGATTTTCATTATTATTTTGCGATAACAAGCTGAAATTTCCCCACTGCGAGACAATTTCTTAATCTAATCTTAATTTTTGGATCAGTTTCAGACGGTGGTGTGCCATGTGATTGTTTACAATGAAAAAAGTGTGCCACAGCTGTAAAAAGGTTTGGGAACACTGCTGTACGTAATCAAAACGTTCAGCTAAATTAGAATAAAACATAGAAGAAAATGAATGAGCAGTTGAATCACTATTATTGACATTGTATTTATATGTCGCCTTTCTGGGCACTCAAGATCTCCTTACAAAGGGCATTTAAAAGTTGAACGCAAAAAACATATAAAATCAACAGTTAAAAGTGGACAGTGGAATGTAGGGGTCATTGTGAAATGGCCCCTACAAAAGAAACAGAATCTTTTCAGACTGGCCATTTCACAAGATTTCAGACTGGCCTGACAAGATTCTGTTTCTTTTCTCACACCAAGACGTGCACATAACACATCCTTATTAGATGACTTACTTCTATCTCTCACTGTAAACCTGTTATGTTGAGAAATGCAATGATGTGAGACACTCTCCAGTCTAACAATGCAATACCGCTAAATACAAAGTCCAATTCTGCCGTCCCGCTGTGTATCGGCTCACACCAAAAAAAACCTGCAGTTATTGACAAGAGTACGTCTTAACACTGGCTGGGTATCATTGGGGGATTCACAAAACACAACAAGACAAAACAAACCAGACTTTGTGTCCTTAAATGGTAAATGAATTAAATACATGTTATGGATGACGCATGTGTTTAAAGCTGAGGTATCTAAGACCTATTTGTTTCGGCAGGCTGTCTCGCCTCACCTCACATCTGAAGTGTGACATTTGTTTTAAGAACTGACTTGTATGTGTACTATTTTTGTCTGTATGTTGTGAAGCGCTTTGTGATCCTGGTCTGTGAAAAAGCGCTTTATAAATACACATTACTTACTTACCAAACTTTCAAGCCATAAACAAATGAACTTCAGATTATCTAACTCTTGCTCTTTGCTCTCAAAATGTGGATTGGTGAATTGTATCACATCTTTGGATCAGCTTTCTTAGACTGAGAAGTGAAGAGGAGAGGACCACTCTTTCTCAACCAATCAGCTCTCAGCTCAAGGCAATCAAACTGTGACTCACTGGGCAGGCACTCAAGTAGGCAAAAGACGACAAAAAGAGCATGCTGTGGCCTGACTTCAAATCAATTCAATTCAATTATTATTATTATATAGCCCTAAATCACAACAGTCGACAACTCTGAGGACTTTAGCACATTGTGGATTCACCAGATCAGAGAATCAAATGCAATAATAACAAACACATTGGTCCAAAAGGGGCACAAGATTCTTTAAGTTGGGAAAGCGGAAAATCTATGTGCTTCACCTTTAAGAGATCATTTTGACAAAAGTTTGACAGTGATGAGTGTAGCAGTTTCATTATATTTTACTTCTAACGAGAGTTACAAAAGGAATAAGTGAGTAAAAGTGCATCTTGGAGCTCGAATCAGAAAACAACAACGCAAATATATGAGGATATGGCTGCGACTTTATCCTTAACCTTATTGTGGAACAAGTTATGGCAACTTTGCCCTCTGTCTACTTATGTGTTTATGTGCTGCTCAAAAACAGCTTCTTTCCCACTGCCATTCGGTCAACCAATCCCTAATGTAAGTAACAAATTCCTTGTTGTGTGGTCAATAATAAAGGATTCGGATTCTGATTCATTTGTATTTGTCATCACTCTGTCCAAAAGTATGAAGTGCAGTGACGATTGTAGGTGGTGGCCAAAGATTGTGCTTAAAGTAAGTTGACACCTGACAGTGACAGAGCAGTCATTTTGAGTTGGAGAAAGTGTAGAATGGATAACCTCTGTCGCAGCAGTACGGCAGAAGTCACAGTGAGGATCATTTATCAACTGAAGTTTAACGTCGCACAATCCGATTCATGAAGAGAAAATGAACCGGCCTCGTTCACAACGGCTCTTAATGGAAGAAGACATTTAAGAGAAAAGCCCTATATCTTTATGATTCTATAGTCACAGTGTTTTCCTTGTTCTCAGTCAGACTATCAAGAACATGTTTATTTTTATTCATTACATGCATTTTTTTCATTTAGCTACTTTTCGAATTATTTGTTTAAGTGGGTTTTTTGTGTTTTTTACGCATGTTTGAAGTGTTTTTTGAGTATTTGTGTGAGTTTTTCTGTGTTTTTTTTGTTTTAGTTAAGCTATTTTTGTGTGTGTGTATGCAATTCATTTTTTTTTGCAGTTTACTTTAGTTGTTTGTGTGTTTTTCTTGTTTTTGGTTAAGCTGTTTTTGTGTTTTGTAGTGTTTGTGTGAGCTTCCATCCATCAATCCATTTTCTTCCCCTTAATCCATTTCTGGGTCGGGGGGGTGACAGTCAGAGCTGCACCCAGTCACAGAGCACCAGCCCCTCACTGATCCTCCTGCAGGTGGTGAGTCCACAGGAGCTGAGATCTTTCAGTGGGGGCTTCAGGCAAAGTGGGGTTAAGTGTCTTGCCCAAGGACACAACGACAGCAGTCATCAGTGGGAGTCGTGAAGTAGGTCTTGTGTGTTTGTGTGAGCTTTTCTGTGTTTTTTCTATAGTTTAGCTGTTCTTTGTGTGTGTGTGTGTGTGTGTGCGTGCGGTAAAACAAATTGAAATCAAGACTCGGATTATTCATTCAAAAATCAACCTAAATGTGTAACAATAATAATTATAGTGAAAAAAACGTTCAAATACATTGCATTATTTAATAGCATGAGATTCTAATGCCTCTCTATGGGTGTTTAAGTGTTTGTGAGCGGTGTAGTTTTACACTTCAGCATCACTAGGGACCAGTTAAGAGTTTCTGATGCTCCAATGATCAGTCATAAGGAACCACCACTAATGGAGTGCGATTTCAAACGACAAATATTCAAACTAAAACAGGGAATTGAAGAGAGAGGGAGAAATGATTATAATGACTATGTGTATGTGGACGGTTTTTGTTAGTTTTGCTCAAGGACAAGGTGTTCAGGAGAATTGTTCAAAGTATTCGCACAAAGGAGACCGTGTTCAGACTGAGGTCACACAAACAGTGACGGCAACACTATCCATGATAAAAAGCAAATAAAAAACTGTGCAGAAACCATTTCTGGGAATTTATCATTTTCAATCACACAAAAATAAATAGGTTTTCTGCATAAAGACAGCCATTATTGATCTAATATAGAACACATACACAACATGGCGGTGGGGAAGGCTGCACGATTTAGACAAAAATCTGTATTTGTGATATGACCGACCAACATTGCGATTGCCAAAAAGTCAGAATAATAACATTTGAAAACGGGCACAAATGGATTTGTTTAAACGTACAATACAGCAATGTTTCAAGTAGAATTAAAAGATTCAGTGCAAAAACACTTATATTATGTAGTGATTATTTTTTCTCACAAGATTGTAATAGTCAGACCGTAGAGGGAAACATTTTGACAGCAAGACAAAGACAAATCTTCAAAGTATACTCAGATAAAGACAAATATATGTGCAAGAAGGAGCGCTATTGCAGGGCCGTCATCCCACCGCTGTCAGACTGTACAATATGTCACTAAGTCACTAATGCACTAGGACTGAAAAACCTCCACTACTATTGCCACTGTTTCTTTAATTGCCACTTTTTATTACATATTTACATGATATATCCTGAACAGACTATATTTGTTGCCTTTAACATGATTGCACACTTTCTATCTATGCCAAATGTGACATGTACATTTCTCTAGTGTGGGATCAATAAAGTCTATCTTATCTTATCTTATTCCATTCTTTTTTGTTTGCAAAGAACATAAACAAGTACGACCTTTTTCACTTATCAATCACATCAAATTCCATCGCGATTAAAGGTGATGTCAAGCATCTTAAATTGCATTTATTAAGTGTATTTCTGACCATGGAACACTGTACCATTGTGTACACCATAAGCTTTCAACAACAATATATTCAAAACAGTCCCTCCCCTTGGCATAACCACCACCAGTGAGATTTGATGGAGGAGAATTGTGAAATCAATGACCAGGTGTCTCAAGGATATGAATGAACTTCAACCAATCAGTAAGCAGCAGAGGTGTGCATGAGCGGGCCTAAAATCCAGTGCTGGTCTTCAAAAAGTTTCACTCTCTCTTCACAACTTTATAAAGTATAGCCATTCACTGAAATGGTGCAGCCTTAGTGGTGGCTCTTGTCTCGCACAGAGGCTGTAGCTTCAGGTCTGAATAGCCTGCTGCCCCACATTGAACCGGAATAGAAGGCTGGTCTCGTACCTCCATCTGTCTGCGGAGCTCCTTCACATGTGCAGAGTCCTGGGACACGTCCTCTCTCTGCGAGGCGTCTGCTAACACGTTCACGGTGGTCTCGGCCTCGTGGAGCCACTTCAGAAACGACTCCAGCTCTCGAAGGGAAGTCTGAAGGCCTTTGAGGTCACTGTCCATCTGCGTCTGACGATCGTTCGCCCTAAAAAAATCACACAAATAGAAAGTGGATGTCAGTTCTATCACTGTGTGGGTTTGGCAACATCACGGCCAAAGAAGAGCTTTGAACAAGGTGGTCCCTTCTGCTTATAAAGAAATCTGGGCTATAAGGTGCTGTTTCTGGAGGTTCTTTATGAATCCAGACTTCATTATGTTGATAGATAGATACTTTATTGATCCCCGTAGGAGAAATTCAGGGGTCCCGCAGCAGAGACACATTCATACAAACGCATAAGTATATACATTATAAAAGTGTCCATATGTTTAACTAAGACGTTACTCTTAAAAGTGATCCTTGCGTATATAGCGTTTCTCACAGACTCAAAAACACAGTGATGGAAGCAGCTTTGCCATACATGAGGTGCAAGCTGGACCCAATCAAAATGTGTTCCCTTTTTAGATATTCATCTTTCAGTTGTACGCACAGATAAATAGAACTGTTTGCACCCCGGATTTGAACAATTTAGTAGAGTAGAAGCCTGCTTTTATGATGTATTATCTTGTTAACATGTTTCGGCTGCTGAGCTGTGAGCCTTCTTCAGAACCGAAACATGTTAACAAGGTAATACATCTGAACGTGTCTTTCAAAAGAACACATTTTCCGTAAGGTTGCTCAAGATTTTAGCTCCATGAATCTGAAATGCTGCCTCCTCAAAAACCTAGAGAGAACATGCAAACTTCACACAGGATCCATCTGGAGGTGGAATCAAACCCAGGACCAAAGACATGTACCTCGATTTCTCTCTAGTCCCCTCCAAGGTCAATTGTGGCTACATTCATTTCGTATTTTGTATTTTTCTGTTCCAACCCATTAAAAACCACGTTGGCTGCGTAATTTATATTGTTGTGTCTTACCATTAATTTACACATGTTGTATTCTGTTTTAGTCCTTTACTTATTCAGTTCCCTTGTGAGCTCACACTTATAAGATTTTAAGCCAAAAATAGAATCTAATCTTTGTTTGGTCCTGCTCTAGTCCTGCTATTTTAATTTCAGGATAGTTAGTATGATGTCATGTGCTACCTCCTAGTCCCCCAGCTCTGTTTTATTTGCTTTTGATGCAATGAAAAGCGTGCACACACACACACACACACACACACAGGGTCAGTTTATTGTATTTTTTTTTCCCAACCCATTCAGAACCACTTTGGGTGTGTGATTTATATTGTTGTGTCGCACCATGCTTTGAATCCCTTTCCTCCCATTTTGCATTATGCACTTATAAAAAGGGAATAGAGTGAGTGTGCACCTGTTGTTGATGCTGTTCCACACGGCATTGTGCTTGTCTGTGACCTCCTTAATCCTCCGGGTGTCATCCAGAGAATACTCCTGGAGAAGGCGGTTTGACAGCTCATTGAAGGCTGCCACAATCGGCTGGCCTCGCCCCAAATCCTGGAGGAAAGCCTGGAAAAAAAAAACAACAAAAACAACAAAAGAATGTGAGCATGCACGACAAATCAAAGAATGCCTCACTGCACACGGTAAATAAATTATCATGCGTAACTTTGAATAGAAATGCCTGGTGCCGCTGTAATCGAATTAGTCCATAGTTAAAGGCCTTGTTTCCCTATTTCAATTAATCAAAAATTGCATGAGTCATTTAATTGTTTTGTATTAAGAATATGATTAGTGCTCAATGAATAAAAGCAGAAGTAACACTACATAAAGTATATTACAGGCTTTGATTTTGATTGAACAAAGTTTCCCTCCAGTGGCCAAAGTAGGTAGTGCACCATGACTCATTCCTGACCCAGGCCTTTCTACCCTCATCCTACTAAATTAAAATGATGGATGAGAGATCTAAGAGTATTATTAGGTTCAAAGTGGCCATGTCCTTGTTATTTATGAATTCTTTAGCAGGCTTCATCTGTCTCAAGAACCTCTAATAGTCATACAATAAAGTTTGAGTTTCTATCTAGGTGTGAAATGACAAAGAAAGACAAATACCATGCTTTATCTCTAAGCCAAGGTCATATGGAGTGTGTGTGCGTGTGCATGTGCATGTGCGTGTGCGTGTGCGTGTGTGTGTGTGACTTAAGGAGGAAACACAGGGGACCTTGTTTTCGGAGATCTGCTTGGTCAAAGGGTCTCTAGACTGCTGCAGAAGGTGAAGGAAGCGTCCTTCGTTGTGCCCAATTAAGGCCGTGACCTCCTGTCTTTGCTCCTCCCACTGGTTACTGTGACCAATCATATTGTCCAACTGCTGTAGCCGAGCTTCGACACCGTGCTGAGTGGTGTCCCATTGGTTGTGTACCATCTCCACTACAAACAAATGTAAAACATGAGCAATGAATAAATTAGAGCTCTCCTTAGTCTCAAAGTATTTGTGGCCTCTATTACAACTTTAGATCAACGTACCAATATGCATTTTCTAATAATTTGAGGACAGAATATAGAGGTCTGATTATTTCACAATCTCTAACAATACAAGTGCTCCTGAGAAAGTCACAATAAGCTGTTTGTCACCTCACGAGTGCACACTTTACAGGTCGTGCTGTGGACCCTAATGTAAGTTTATCTGTCAGAATATTCAATAATACTGGAGCTGACTGAAATATCAGGTTTAGTGCCACTCGATTTGAGTCCAACACTGGTTTGGCTGTCCTTTTAAAGACATAACTTATTGTTGTCTTGTGTGTGTGTTAAAGTGGACTTAGAAATTTGGTTGAATCAAGACCTCTTTTTCAACAGGAACAGAAAAAAGCTTGTTAACCCAGACAAAAGGCCAGGCTACCCCAGGCCAGGCTACCCCAGACATACATTTGGCAAGTGAATGTATAACTTGAATACAAGTGTAACTGATTGTGTTTTTGGCATACTAACATACATTTTTCAGTAATGGAAGTGCGAACGTCTAAATTGGAGGTCTTGTTTTTGATGTTTTGAGCCAGAGTAAAAATGTCCTCGAGCTGCGGGTGTCGTTGCTCCAGATCGCCCTTTGTCACCTGTGAAACACAACGCCACATGACATCACAGACCCAGCCTTGCAAACTTTTAACCTATTTTTTGTGGATCATTCGCACCTGCAGTCGCCCTATGGTGGTCCTGATCTCATCGATGTCGCCTACAGTCACAATGTTGGACTTGAGCATCTGAGTGATGAGCACCAGCCAGTCTGCCAGCTCCGTCGCCGTCTTGTTCAGGTCTGTGGGCGCCACCGTGTCCGGGGAGTGAGGGGTTTGGTAGTAGGGCTCTTCACTCACTAAACTGGCCATTGGCACTGCGGGAGGCAATGCAGACACTGGGGGGAGAAGGAAGGGTTATCTATGCACCCAAATGTTGCTTGTTAATCATTCTATAACGGGAAATATATAGAGAAGCATGAAAATGTTTGGGCACACTTCTCAATTTGTATGATTTTCCTTTATAAATCAGTGGTTGTTTGGATAGAAAGTTCAGTTAAATATATCGTAAAGGACACAACACAGTGGCAATCCAAAACACTCGACATTCAACAACATTTATAGACATTGGTCACCTGCCACTTATGGACCAATGTCTTCATGCATTTTTATCATTGCATTTCTTGTGATTTAGGGCTATACAAGAATAAAAAGAATTGATTTGATATTTGAGAAGTTAAATAAAGTGTGTATTATTCACAGAATGTGTGCAAGAATTTTTTAACCAAATTAGGCAAACGTTTTCTTACCACTTTATATGTTGTCTATAGAGGCTTGTGACTATTTTTGCCTATAATATCATGTTACCTAGTTGCTGATGCTGGACAACGTGGTGCATGGTCCAAGGAGATACTGGCGTTTGCAAAGACTCTCTCAGACGACAATCCAGTGCTTTCCAGTCAGATGCAAGCTGCTCAACTTTACTCTGAAAATAACACATTCAAAAACTAGGATTAGGCCTTCCATAATTAAGAAATCCAGTCCAGTGAACTATCCTGTGGTTGTGTGGGGTATTGCAAGACATATATCTACTTATGTATTTTTTTACGAGGAAAGATTAACATACAGTACGTGTGTGAGACCAAAATTCAAATTATGCCAGATTATAGCTACACAGCAATTTTTCATCCACAGTTCCTCAGCAGGGACAAAAACAAGTTAAAAAGGCATACAATATGATAGAAAAGATCACATAGAAAGATGAGACGTTTTATTTGGATCAATGAGACAATTTTTAAACTGTTTATTAACTCTTTAGATGCAAGAGTGGAAAGAAATGGAGAAAATGTGGAGCCCTGAAACATTACGAGAAATAGAGGTTATATTTAGGTTTTACTTTATCGTCCTCTGCATTTGACCCATCCTGCAAATGCCACTCGGGCAGAGGTTTGGTAGAGGACGACAAAAAACAATACTAGAAAACAATAAAAGATAGATACCAGTTTAAACAAAGCACTGTGATGATCTTGCACTTGCATTGAAACCTTTTTTATTGACAATTGTTTCTTGTACTTTTTAAGCTTGTTTTATTTGAAATATTTGTCTGCCCAGTGTGCGTGGTACACACTGGGGATGTATTCAGTATTCTGCAAATGACAAATAAAGTGAATCTGAATCTTCATATGTAAGACACATATGTTTGTCTTATATATGGGAAATGTATGTGGACAGCCAGCTTTCTTTTTTTGTTTTAAATCCTGGATTTAGCTACAATGTAATTCGGTATATTTTCACATAAATACTTCTCATGGTGCTCTCATTTGTGCTCACTCTATTATTTCCTATTTTGAGTTGCATACACTCCCTCACTCCATAACTTTCTGTATTTTTAGTCGCTCAGTAAAGTAGTTTAAGAAAGCTTGTCACCTTTTCCTGAGGCAAAAGCTGCTGTCGTCTTTGCAGCTCGATTGACAGCGCCAGCAGTTCCTCCAAGTCCCTCTTTCGGTCTTTCATGGAGGTCTCCAAGGCCTTCAACAACAACAAAAGTATTTTATTTTTGTTGCTTGACATTTTTTATATTGAGAAAACATCTCCCCACCTGTGCTTGTGTGTGATTGAGGCCTCTTGTCGCTATAGTTTGGTGAGTGATAACCACCCAGTCCGTCAGCCGGTTCATGCGGTCCTGGAACTGGGCGTGGCTGTGCAGGTTGGACTCCACCTCACGCACCTTGTCCAGTAGCTCATGAGTCGCCTGAATTACGAAAAAACAAAAAGTGTCACGTTTGTTGTGGTCTGCACATTAATTTAAGGGTAGTGCAAAAATTCAACATTCAACAACATTAGACATGTATCAACATTTAGGGACATTGGTCATCTGCCCCTTATAGATAGATATTGATCCCCAAAGTAGAAATTCAGGTGCAGAAAACAAATCCATATAAACACAAAAGTAAATCAATTATAAATATTTCTAACTAACGACCTAACGATAGTGGATATTTTTAACTCATATGGGTCTGTTGTACAGTCTGACAGCCGAAGGAACAAAGGATCTCTTAAAACGTCCCGTTCGGCAGCGCAGTGATAGAAGCCTGTGTCATGCAGGGGGTGTCTGTAGTTACTCAGGAAATTGGCTCTATGTGTTTTTTTTTTACCACTGCATTTCTTGAGTTTGAACTGTTTGATTCTCTGACCTGTGTTTCAACGGTTTTGTTAAGTCCTCCGAGATACAGTAACTACTGTTGTGATTTAGGGATATACAAGAATAAATTGAATGGAATTTAAAAATGAATCCATGAACATTCAGGACACAGGACCTTATTACAAGACTACAAGAAATCCACTGAATAGGCGACCTCTCAGGTGAATGGAGAACTCATATTAGAGTAACATAAACCTCAGATGTGAATAACTGAGTAAACTTGTCGAGTAGCTCATGAGTCGACTGTATTATGAAAAATCAAAAAAAAAATCTGACATTTTTTCGAGGATTTCAGATTTAATCAATAGACAATAACCTTGCTCCAGTTGAGGTTAATGGAGCGCAGTTTGGAGACGTGATGGTCCCTGCTCTGTGGACTGACGCTGGGATTGGAGAGGATGTGGGGAGCGTGCTTGTTCAACCAACCAAGTCTCTCGTTTTGTGCATCCATTTGATCCGCTATGGCCTGAAAGAACCACAGGAAACATGTCAGTATTGTTGCACAAACAATCAAACCAATCCATTGTTCTTTTGCCAATTCAATTTGCTTTCATTCAAACCACTACAACGTTTTCTTTCCACCACGTCTCATATAAGTTGTCCTGTTGTAGCAATTCTTTTTCATTCTCTTCTAAGAATTTCACATTAGGTGGATGCTTTTCTTTCTATGTTTAAACAGAAGTAAATACCACATGTTTACATATACAGTTGTTTTTTGATTACTATATCATTTTTATATATTATATATAATTGTCTTTATTTGAATTATTTGAAGGCCTGATAACCCAAATGGCAATGACAATTCAAAACAAAAATGATGCCCCAACTACAACCAACAAATATCGTACAGGCATCAATCAATATAAAAAGGGCAAAACAAAGGAGATGGACAAAGCAAGAATTACTATTGTATATCAGTTTGGATGAACTAATATATGCATTTAGGGGCTCCATATTTATTGTCTATATTTTCTTTGCAATAGTGAGAAGATGATATTTGATGTTTATTTCAGAGCAGTCACCCTCTAAAGCACTTTCATGTAATATACAGTAATGAATGTATATACTAACAATAGCAGCGTTGTCCAGTCTTATATAAATGCATATATTCTTATCTCATCATTTAACTTCTGGTTGGATGCTAAACTGCATTTTTCTGACTTTGTCATGACAATAAAGTTGAAACTTATCTGATCTAGTTTTGATGGAGTGATTATTACCAAAATGTGGTGTTTATATGTTTCAGTGTATGACTTTTAATAGTGAAGAATGTTTTTTAACTGCACCAGCGGCACAAGTCATTTTACTATACCCATATATCGTCCATAAAAATGTGTGATTGAGACCGAACTGCATCACTATTTAATATACTAGTTTAGGAAAGTTATTCTGGTCTTCTAAAAGTTAATTTACATGTTACAGTATCAGTCTTAATAATAACATATGATGGATACAAAGCACCTTCAGTTCTTTGAGGTTGTTGTCGGTTGCCGTGAGCGGGAGGCTGACGGCGTGTTCAGCCTGTTCCAGCCAAGACGCCAGCGCAGTACTCTGCCTCATCAGATCTGAGAGAGCAGACTCTCCCCCAGCGAGTCTACACACGTACACACACACACACACATGCAGACACATATACAGACACACAAACATAAAAAACATACACACACACATATGTACACATATACACACACAGAAAAACACACAATCAAAGACAACACGCACAGTCAAAAAGCACGCACACAAACATACCAACATACACACACGCAAACCCACGCGCACACACACACACACACACACAAACAAACACAAGATTAAGATCTTCTTTCCTCAGCTAACAGATCTAATCCTGAATTTACATTTAAAAGACTGTTAGACACTGGTGATAAGAGCGATCGACTAAAGAATGAGGAGAGGCATAAAGAAAAGTAGGTCAGCTTTGGTAACACGTTATTACACAAAAGTGGTTTTATCGACACGCAGACTGTGAACCAATACATTTCAAAATCTGCTCTGAAGTGTATAATGGTAAGTATTTGAGTGAAGGGAGCCCAAAGACTTTCTATAGATTAAGATTTGATTGATGGACTGATAAAGGAGGTAAAGTGGCACCTTCTCTGTCGCTCCAGGATTTGCCGGTTCACGCCTCTCCACCTCTGACCCAGAGTCTGGAGTTTGTCCTCGAGCAGGAAACCATCAGGTGAAGACAGCTGTTCAATTATTTTCTCCCCTGTGCGATTGAGCGCAGCCAGGTCTGCTTGGTGACTGGCAACATCATCCTCCAGCGCCTGAATGTTGACACAAACACATGAGGGATTTGAACATTTGAACTGTAAGAAAATCCATCAGACTTGTTCCTTGCTCTCAAAATCACCAGTTTTCACATGAATCTATCTTTGGCCTTCGTCACATCTTTAGATCAGCATTTCCAGACAGAAGAGAAAACTCAGAATGTAAATGCAGACAGCCTGTTGTGGCCCTATTACTTTTTCTTGGGATTAAAAAAGGAAAGATGTTAGCTACCCTTACTCCAGTTTTCAGCGCAAGACAGACATCTTGGAGACCCGGGAATTGGTTTCTACTTGTCAATTAAGCTAGCACTAAAATAGTACAGAGCCATTGCTGCGAACCCACAGGTTACTATTATGAATACAGGTTTATAAACTTTGTGTAACCTATTTAATGCAACCTTTTATTATTATCGTTTAACTAAAACAAGTTCATTGTTTTCTCTGTTTCAATTACATTAAATGTATTCTTGTATATCCCTAACTAAACATACACAAACACCTCTGCTGCTGTGACCCGACCTGCTCCACCCAGTGGCTACTCCATCTATGCTGCTGTGACCTGAAGGGCTGTTGCTGATTGTTACTATTGTTAGCTTTTTAGAATGATCAATTTCATTTTTTTATTTTTGCTGCTACTGGACACCTGAATTTCTCCTATAGGGATCTAACTCACAACAGTAGTTATTTCGAAGGACTTAACAAAACTGCTGAATTCTCCAACACAGATCAGAGAATCAATGAAATGCAACAATAAAAAACACATAGAGCCATTGTCCATAAATGTTGATAAATGTCCATAAATGTTGTTGAATGTTGAATGTTTCCAACCACAAACCCACATAATATTGTGATTACTAAAACAAATAACTACACAAGTAATTGACCGTACAAGCTGTTCTTTTTAGGACATTCTCTGACCGGAATAAACTGTCCATATTGACCTCCTCTAATCAGCAATCCTTTTTCTTAATGCTGTTAACTCCACTACAGGCACCTAACATCCAATCACAGGATCATCCATTATCTTATCAGGGTCCGCTCTATCAACCAGTAGAGAGGGGCTGTTTTCTGTCAGAATGTGCTTAATTAGATACATGAGTGAGATTTGAAGCCTTGCTGACCTGCTGGTGGTGCTGGGCCATATCAAGGTTGATCTGTCCATCAAGACCCACACTGTCAGACAGAAGTCTCTCTGTGTCACCGAGCCACTGACTCAAGTCATTCATGTCACAGTGAAAGCGCCGCCAGTCCTCCATGGCACGGTCAAAAGTCCTGGAGAAATCAAAACAGAAGATGAATATTATTAAGGGCTCATTTATAATATTTGTTGTCCACGACTCCCTTGAAAAGAGGTTCCTAATCTCAATGAGACTTTCCTGGTTAAATAAAGGTTAAATAAACAATATGCGTCTTTCTGTGTCCTCCTGTTGGTGCCTTGCTCAGCTCTGCTGCTTCTTCTGAATTACTTATCTCGGCTCGTACTGAACAGGGCAAAATAAATGGTTCTTCTGCTGGGGCTCAACGCCGCCAACAAGATGGTGACTGCAACATGGTTGCTACAAGATGGTAGCAACTCACTTGCTGTCCTGCCTAAAATAAAATTTGACATTTGTTGACATTTGTCCACATCCCGAAGGAAAGGAACTGAACAAAGCAGTTTGAGTAAGAGCAATGGACTAATCGAAGGTAGTGTCTGATTTTAAATGTTTTATTTATGTTATTTTTGTATTTTTGCCATGTGCGTATGTGTGTGTGCGCATATGTGTGTGGGTTTGTGTGTGTGCTTATGTTTACTCGCGTTTGAAAATAAAGTAAACAAAAAAAGAGCTCATTAATAATCAACAGTCCCTCATGAATAAAATATGATAAAAGAGATACATATGGAATTTGGTTTGGATACAACACAAACGTTATTCCCTACAGCGTATTTGACCCGTGTTGTGGCAGCGTAATGATACGGCTGATTACATTTGAATACCTAATCAAAATAAGATTGTATCAGGATGGTGCATTTAGCTCCGTTTCCTCGCAGCGCAGTATAATGAATGCAGTCTGAGACAAGGGAGAAAATGAGTTTTTGTGATGACCGGAGGTAACAGTGATCGTGGCCATCACACCCTTGTTTCCAATCTGCAGAAATTGCCACCAGTTTGTTGTTGCAAGCACTTAAAACACAAAAGGAACAACGACAAATGAAGAGAGCGATAGCAACAACAACAAAACACTTGAGAATAATCAAGGCTTTTTGAAGAGAGAGTGGATTGTTAATAGAAATAAGAAACAATATCTAAACCGGTATAAGAACTCATTCCTGCCCACATCTGTGAACCTCCTGAATGCAGGCCATCGAGCAGAGCGGTGATGGTTTATGTCGGTGTTACTGTGTTGTGTTTTTATGTCTGTCTTATGTGTTTTTTCAATGTAGCAGCTGTGAGTCCAAGACAAATTTCCAACGGGACATAAGAAATTAATCTTGAATCTTGAATCTTGAATATTATGGCTCTGGAAACGCTGTGTGTTCAAGGACAACACTCGACTTGACTTTTTTGTCGACATGTCTCAACAATGTCATAACAAAAATTCTCAATACTTAGGATACATTTTATTCCAAAGAGCAGGCTCGGAGCTCGTTTATACCGCATACTTGCTGCCTTTAGAGTTGCTGGACTGACCCTTTGCGATGGTTGTACATGCGATTGATCCGGTCCCAGTCCGCGTTGAGTTGAGTGAGTGAGTCTTCGATCTGAGCCACTTCTGCAGGTGAAGCGTCCTGGATGAGGTCCGGCTGTCGCTCGTGAACCGTGGTCACCTGGTCTTCCAGAATTTCCAGGCTCTCTTTGATGTTCTAAATAAATCACGATAAAAAAGGCAATCATGTAAAATATGTAATTGCTGCGTACTCCATAATTGATTCCTGTTTATAAGCTTGAAATAAATAAATGAATCAAATCAAAACAAACAACAACGTTTAAAGTCATTTGTTTCACGCCCCCTTCTCCTCTTTCTTGTTCCAATTAAAGCTGGAAAAGTTAACCTTTTTGTTTCTTTAATAATGCATGTTGTTTGTCCCAACAGAAAGAAAGTGGACAAATTAGACCACAACAGGTTTTCATCTAGTTAGAAAACAGTTTCTATGAGTCACTATTGGAAGCTTTGGGCTTAGATCTGATTGGCTGAGAGGTAGTTCTCTTCTTTTTTTTTTTTTTTTTACTGTCTGAAAAAGCGTATCCAAAAATGTGACAGGAGCCAAAAATAGCATGCAGGTAAAAACTAATGATGGAACCAAACCAAATCTTATTACATTCATTATAACATTTCTGCGGTTTAAAAGTTAAGTAGCCCAGCTTTAAATAAGGCAGGCCTATTCAAAACATAATCCTCCAACAAACCCTACTTTTAGCGTGTCTTCTTGGCTGGAGAAATCCTCGTACAAGCCTCCGCTGAGTTCAGACGAGTTCAAGAGCAGCTCATTGTCGGCAATCGCCAGCCGCACTTTGTTAATAGATAGTAAGTAGTCAGACAGCCCGCGTGAAGGACCTCTGCTACAATCTAAAGAAGCCATTTCCTAAGAACACACACGACATACTAGTTATTATGGGTATGCAAATGATGAATTAGGCAATGCATATACAGTATTTTGTTTAATGAAGCCGTTTCCCATTAACACGCACGCATAGTTATTGGCATAGAAATGATGAATTAGGCACTGTACACTGCAAAAAAGGAAAAAATATGAGGTAATAATTGCTTAAATCAAGTGTTTTTTTATCTTAATTTGAGAACATTCTGACAAAGCTGTTGAGTCTTCTTTCAAGAACTATACTCTCTCATTCCAAGGGAGACATTTCTTGTATCTGTATAAAACAATATTATTTTGCTTGTCCCATTGGCAAATTTTGTTTTAAGGCAGTCCATTTTTGCCAAGTTTTAGCAATTTGTGACTTATCTTTCATATTTTTGTGCAGTGTAGGCAATGCATAATCAGTATTTCGGCCAAAATTAAACATTAATACAATAACCTCGTCTGAAATTCCTCTTGTCTTTTCAATAAACGTGTGCGACGTCGTTGAATGCACCTCAATCTGTCTGACTCGTAGGGACCTCAGTTCCTGGAAACATCAATAGCTGAGACCTGGATCAGAAGCTGTAATTTCAATATTTCTTTGCGAGTTTCTTACCCTGTGTGAAGAGTATTGGCTCTGCAGCTGAATCAGTAGGAACCTCAACCGTTCCTGTTGAGTTTTGTTGGAAGTTTGTTGCAGAAGTACCTCTCCTTGTCGCAGCAGTTCCTCCACGTTGGCTTTTTCCTCATCCATCTAATGTACGGACGGCAGGAGAGGAAAACATGTCAAATGAGTTTGCATTTAAATCGTACTGGAGGTGTACTGAAGTGTAAAGGCCAAAGCAGCTGCAGCGATTTGTTAAGTTGAAAACACTTTATTGCGCCTTGACTTTCCCTCACTTTCAGTTGCTGGCCTTGCAAATGATTGGTTAGCCGAGTCTGTGGCTTTAAACGTCAGGAACAATGATAAGAGAAACTTAAACACTAGAAGCAGCCTTGAAGCACACATCAAAATGTAAAGAATGCATTTAACCCCGCACAATTCTTCTGTTATGAGTGGACTTGTTTGAACCATTTTAAAGCTGGATTACCCAACTTTGAAACAACAAACCATGAACTGGCTTCTAGTTCATTGGGACCGGCCTCCTGCTGGTCCCCAGAGTCAGGACTAAACATGGAGAGTTCATGTTTTGTTAAGCATTTTGCATTGCCTTTTTTATGAACGGTGCTATTCAAATAAACTTGCCTTTGCCTTGAATACAATCTATGTAACTACTTCCTATCACTAGTTATAACTTGCAAGTGTTTTTGGTCATTGCCACATATTTAGAGAACCAGCCCTCACTCAGCCAATCAGCTCTTAGTATGTAAAAGGTACAAAGTTTGCTATAATATATAAGCAATGTTTGTTTTCTTGTGTTTCTCTGATCTGTGTTGGTGAATTCAACAGTTTTGTAAAGTCCTCCGAGAAAACTACTGTTGGTATTTAGGGCTAAACAAGAATACATTGAATTGAATTCGAGTGAATTATTAAAAAGACAGTTTTTCACTTAATGTTAATCAAACCATATTTTTCTGTTGATAATGTGGTAATGTATTTATGAAACCAAAACAGCTATGTACTACAGATTTTTAGTTTCTACTACATGACACAGACTGATATTATTATGTTCTATATTCTTTATGTGTTTTAACTGTTGATTCTCTGATATGTGTTGGTGATTTCAAAGTCCTCTGAGATGACTTCTGTTGTGATTTAGAGCTATAAAAGAATAAATTGTATTGTCCATCAATCCATCCATTTTCTTCTCCTTAATCCATTTCTGGGTCGGGGGGGTGGCAGTCAGAGCTGCACCCAGTCCACAGAGCACCAGCCCCTCACTGATCCTCCTGCAGGTGGTGAGTCCACAGGAGCTGAGATCTTTCAGTTGGGGCTTTGGGCAAAGTAGGTTTAAGTGTCTTGCCCAAGGACACAACGACAGCAGTCATCAGTGGGAGTCGTGAAGTAGGTCTTACGGTGGGCTTGAACCCACGACCTTCAGGCTCACAGGCCAATGCTCTACCAACTGAGCTACTGTCGCCCCGCTACAGAGCTAAATTGTATTGTATTGTATTTTATTGTATTACACATGTACCTTGTCGTCGTCCATAATGTCTTGGTCGTCTCGCTGCTGCAGAGAACTGAGTGTCTCCTGCAGCTGCATCTGAAGCTCCTGCAGCTCCACGTCGGCCTGCACCTCACAGGAAACAGCCTCGTTCTGGTCCTCAGTCTGGATTTCCTGGTTGCGAATGACTTCTCGATCACTGACCATGACCTGAATTAAAACATTAAACAGTTTTAAACAACTTGTTTTTGAATTGAATGACTTTGTATAACATAAAAAAGATCAGTGCGCTGTGACATTATACCTGTTGGGGAGTGTGCTGGAGCATTTCAACCACATCAGAGTCCAAACTGGTCATCATCTGAACAGAAAGGTGATAAATTATAATAATTTATTATAAAATAAATCAAATGAATAATTTATATTAATAAATTCATCTTATTGATTTTTCTGAATCAAATTGTTGTAACGTTTGGATCCATGCAACTCTCAATTTATCAAATTATCTACGGATTAAAAAACAAGAAAAGATGATATGTATGTTGTGCTTAAAAACTGAGTCAAAAAAGTGTCATTAACCAGAAAATGTATATTCACTATTTTCATTGTTCAATTATCTTTATTTATAATTTTTTTTTTCAATTCAATTAAAAGTATTTTTATATAGCCCTAAATCACTACAGCCGTTGTCTTGAAAGACTACAAAATTGTCAATTAGTCAATGATATGTGAGAGAAATAAACCGTTTCAACTCAGGAAACGCAATAATAAATGTCAAAAAATGTCCCTAAATGTCCTGGACCATCACTGTCCTTGGGACCTTGGCGTCGGCAAGGAATGACGCAAAAAACATTTGCTAAAAATCCATACACTTTACTATTTCCTATGATTTGTAAATGCTTTGAAAAAGGGAACTCCCTGGAAGCTGCATGAGCTTTATAAGAGAGGGCCACAAAACTTAAGGGACCAACAGTCACAACACATTTTGTATCAGGAAAAAATGCCACTGAAAATATGGTAAAAAGGGTAGTGAAACCAAACAAATCAGTGGCTGTTCACATCTAAACTAGAGTGCAATTGTGGGGGAAGGCATTTAGAACAGGGGGGGCTGCTACAAGTTGCAGAAAAGCTGTGTACCTTGGAAGTTTTAATGTGCTGTGAAACTTTGTTAAAATTGCAGTTGAGCTCAGACAACTTTGGCTCAATGACGTCCCGACAGGCCGGCCCCCTGCTGGTCAACAGGAGCAGTGCTTGGTCCCTGACATTGTCCACTCGCAGACTCATTCCCTCCAGCTCGTTCAGGATGCGCTAAAACCCAAACACAAAGGAGTTATTATTCTCTACTTCAGCTGTGTGACCTATGGGCGAATTGCACCATCACTCATTTCTCTCTCTTGATAATTTTGACCAGGTGCCACCACAGCCTTGAGTCCAAGTTTAGCACAGTGAGTACAAGGCTACCAGCCCACACACTGTCATTTTAAAGCGGTCCTTCAGTCTCTCAACTTTAATAGCAGCTTTTCATTGGGTCTCGACTGGAACAATGTCAGGACGAACCATCAATTTAGAATCAGTATAAGAAGACATTTTTATTGCCATTGAAAGTAAAAGGAAGTCACAAACTAGGAATTTTCCTTGGTATATGATGCAAACAAGTTATACAAAGTTTTTAAAAAGTAGAAATTAAGGCATGCACAAAAAATCCTAATAAAATTCCAACATATAAATACAAGCAATAGATCATTGATAAGTGTCCACAGGTACGTCACTTTTTTGCTCTGTTGTTGACGTTCCATTCAATTTATTTGTGTAGAGCACTAAATCACTACAGCAGTGATCTCAAAAGACTTTGTAAAGTAGGACATTTCCTAATAAACAGATCAATGCAATAAGGATGCAAAAGACATAGTGAAAAGAAAAAGTATTGAACAGAGCTAACATTATGAACAAAACAACCCAACAGGCTCAAAATGTGTTATTTTTTAAGTTAGTTATTTCCTAAAAACCTACCAATGGTTTTAGTTTGAGGTTTTAGAATGTATTTTTAGAATATAATACTTTATTATCCATCCTTCCCACTGATGACTGCTGTCGTTGTGTCCTTGGGCAAGACACTTAACCCCACTTTGCCTGAAGCCCCCACTGAAAAGATATCAGCTCCTGTGGACTCACCACCTGCAGGAGGATCAGTGAGAGGCTGGTGCTCTGTGACTTGGTGCAGCTCTGACTGCCACCCCCCCGACCCAGAAATGGATTAAGGGGAAGAAAATGGATGGATGGATGGATATTATCCATCCTGTGTCGTGAGGACAGGAATTTGTCTTTGTCTAGCCCTTACACAAACATTCCAAGACAAGTGTACAGATAATGATTAAAGAAAGCTTAGCTTTAAAACAGCTTCCAATGAATCAATCAAGAAAAAGCCTTATTATTACATCCTTGAATCAAGGATGATTGAGTTTAACGTCCGCGACTCACCAGTTGAGAACCACTGCTTTTGATACTAGACAAGAAACAAAATACTAATAATGTTTTGTACCTTGACAACCTTTTCCCTCTCTGCAGGCTCCAGTCTCTCGGCCTCGTCCAGGTGGATCTGCGTCTGGTACATCCAGGTGCTGATGTGGGCCAAGTTCTCGTCCAAAATCTCGACCTCATTTTGGTGACTCTACAAACAACAAATCAGATCATGGTTTACTCCCGTCCACTATATTCACTGCAAAAACTGATAGAATATGAGGTAACAATTGCTTGAATCGAGTGGTTTTTATCTAAATTTGGGCACATTCTGACTGTCTTACAACAAGATTTGCCAATGGGATAAAGCCATTCAGTCTTAATTCAATAACTGCTTCTTTATTTTCACATTCCAAGAAAGACATTTCTTGTATATTCTTAAAGCAAGATCATTTTGCTTTGTCCCTTTGGCAAATCTTCTTTTAAAGAAGTGAAAATTTGCTCTAATTAACATTTTGTTCAAAATTTGAGCAATATTTTACTTTGCTTTGCTTTGAAACATTATTCTCTTGTTACTTGCACTTTACCAGCACGGCACTGAGCCAGTCCTCGGTCAGGGTGTGCACTCGGCCCCAGGACTCGTTGAGGTGGAAGAGCCGCTCCTCGAGCAGAGCTTCACTGCCCTCCACCAGCGTCTGCAGACCAGCGCTGGTCTCCACCAAACTAGACAGCTCCAACTTGCGGCGCTCTGTCTCCTTCAACAGACCCTGCAGAGACATAATCCACTGAACAATGTGCCAAATATGTGACTAGGTAAGTAAACTTCAAGAATTTTTTTTTTTTTACCTTGACTTGGACATGTATTTACAAAAACTGAAATTGAAATCTGAATTATTTTCAAATTCAACAACGTTTGTACCAGTACATTTCAATTAAATTCAATCTTAACTATAGTGATAATAGAGTTTATTGTCGTCTCTACATTGGCTTCCTGTCGCTTTTAGAATTAAGTTTAAAATGTTATTGTTAGTATTTAAATCTCTGCATGACCTGGCTCCGTCATATCTGACTGACTTGCTTACTTTGCACACTCCGGGAAGAGCACTGAGGTCCTCTGACCAGCTTCTTCTGCACTGTCCCAGGTCTAGATTAAAAACCAGAGGAGACCGAGCCTTTGCTGTGGCAGGGCCTAAACTCTGGAACGCTCTCCCTTATTCCATCAGAGCTGCCTCCTTTGTGGAGAGTTTTAAATCGCAGCTAAAGACACATTTCTTTGCTTTGGCTTTTTAACACAAGCAATGTTGAAACATTTATGATAGTGTCCTGCATTTTATTTTATGCTGAATGTTATTTGTGTGTTGTATTTTTACAATGTCTGGTAAGCACTTTGTGACAGTCCTGTCTGTTTTTATACAATGTGCTATATAAATAAACTTGACCTTGACCTTGACCTTATTGAGAGATCAATGTTTTTTTTCATTTTTGTATTTAATTGTTTTGTTTATTAATTGAGGAAATTTGTGTTTGTTTGTCGTTTGTTTGTTCCGTATTGACCAATGTCTCATATGTGTTTGTTATTAGTGCATTCCCTTTGATTCTTTGGTTTCTTTTTAAACTCCTCCAGAGTGACTACTGTTGTGATTTAGGACTAAAACCAAATAAATTGAATTGCATTGAATTGTGTTTGTTAAAACCACTTGAGGAAAGGAGACAATTTTTATCTTTTGACAATAGGGCATAAACATATCTAGGGGACTTTTCAATGTGATATTCAGTAAAACAAAGGATTTTAAGAAAGCTTTAGATTATTTGTGCAGTTACCTTCCATTTATTGACGATTAGCTGTCGACAAAATCTGACCAAATTAACAAATATGAATATAAATTGATATAGACTATGATTAAAAAAAGTATATCTCCTCCTCCTCCTCGACCTGAGAGCAGCTGTTGACACCACCACCTCTCTGACCCGCACCACAAAGTCTTAATAAATGTCAAATTAATTACCTCCCCTGCCTCCATTGGTGTTCCTCAAGGTTTGGAACTCGGCCCCTCTCATTTTCACCATTTATATGCTTATTATTAATATTCTTATCATCAATCTTTGTGTTGTTTGTTTGTATTTAGTGTTTGCATATATTCAAACTTACATTGGCCCAGACGACTTCAGCGTCGACATCCGCAGGCATGTCTCCGATCGAGGTCTTCTCCTGCAGCTCGGCCTCGCTGCTGCTCAGCCACTCCTGAAGCCCAGTGCTCTCCTTGTGAAACTTCTGGGACAGAGACAAGGCTTTTTCCAAGTCCTGTTTCCCCTCTGTGACCTGTTCAGCAACACAGATATATGTCAAAGTACTGCCGCATTGCAGAGTGTTTTAGTGATAGCCTTGAAATCACATCAGCTTACCTGTGCACCCAAGTCATTGTAGAGCAGTTTCAGGGCAGTGAGTTGCTCGTCCATGGCTTTTGGATTTTCCGTTTGCTGTTTTTGAACAATCTGTCGACCGGTCTTAATAACAGTCTCCACCTCAAGCTTTACCTCACTCAACAGCTTATATAGTTTCTACAACAACAAAACATGGGAAAATGTCAACCACAGCGACCATACACACTGATACTGATGACTTTTCAAGCTGGGGTACCTCACTTTTTTGTCTCAACGGATACATTCTGACATCACATGTGGCACCACCTGGTTAGTAATTTGATGGGAGATCTCTGGGAACACCAGGTGCCACAGTGGGATGGTTGTGGCTGTAAAGTGCCAAACTGTTGTGTTGTGAATGAGTAATGGTGTGTGGGAATGTTTGGTGGTGGTCGGAAAGAACAATACTGGTGGCCTCTTTTCTGTCAGTGTGCCCCAAGGTTAGTAGTTAGATTCTCAAATCTAACTACTAGTTAGATTTCACCACCATGTATGGAGTGAAAGAATAATGTTAAGTGAAGCGTCTTTGAGTGTCCAGAAAAGCGCTATATAAACCGATGCATAATTATTAGAAAACACGTTATCATTTGGATATTTTGTGGCTTTGGGCCAAAAACTGTTTGGCTGAGTGAGAGTGGTGCTCTCTTTTTTCTCTCTTTTCTTTTGATCAAAAGCTCTAATGATAATGACAGAGGTGTAAATTTATCCTGTGTGATATCAATAAAGTCTATCTTATCTTATCTTAAATGTACGTGCTTTCAGGACAAGTAACATGGATTTTATTACATCTTTTTTTGCGGTTTAGAAGTTAGGCCCCCCAGCTTTAACATTATTATTATTATATTTTCTTACCATACAGCCTGCGAGATGGGGCTGAATCTTCTCTGGGGTTAAATCTCTCACGTCGAGGATGTGGAGCTCAGCCTTGGCCCCTTCTAAGACCCGTTTGCAGTCCACCATCCTCTGCTCAAAGTTGGCCGGTTTCTGGAAGAGCTGGTACTTGGTAGAAATCTCCCTCAATTTCCTCTGTGGACCAGAATATTCACATCAGGTTTTATGTAATTTGGGCAAAGACCTTAGGCACAAAAAACTGAATGACAGCTGTTGTTTGTCTCCACTAGAGGTCAGTGCTACCTGTAACTGGTCCAGCAGAGTTCCACCGCGGGTCGCCTTCCCGTCTATGGAGGGAGGAGGCAAGTTGGCAACGTTTCTCCTCCTCATGTCTTCTACTGTGGCCTCGTGGGCAGTGATCTCAGCACCAATGGTCTAAACATGGATCAAACACAATTTAATAAGATTACATTTTACATAATATAAATCAGCTACAACAGAAAAGTTTGTTATTAAAAAAGAACAGAGTGTGTGTGTGTGTGTGTGTGTGTGTGTGTGTGTGTGTGTGTGCGTGCGTGTGCGCGTGTATATAACTATGTAATACACATTATTTATTTCAAACCAAATTTTTTCATACAAAATAAAATCAATGTATGTTTTTTACTGTTTATCATTATTATTGTTTAGTTAGACTTTTTATCCATCTAAGGCTGTGTTTCTCTTTTTTGTTAATGAAAGTATAAAAAACATACAATAATAATAATGCACAGGGATTATAGTGCTTTTTTACTGCTACTACTATAGTTTGTATATACTGTATTTAATGGTATCTCCATAAACAATAGTGAACTTGTAAGTGTAAGAATTTTCTGGAAAGAATGAATAAAAAAATAAAAAAATTATGTTGACAAAAAAAGCTTTACTTATATCGGACTTTCACTGATGTCTCACTCTGTGTGTGTGTACTTTGTGTGTAAAGTACCTGTGCCTCTTGGGGCAGCTGGAAGGCGTCGATGCGGTCGGTCAGATAGGAGGTGAGAGTGTGGTCCAGGACACTCAGAGCCTCCTGCAGACTGAGCAGAGCCTGCTCATTCTCCTTCAGAGACTGCAGCTGCTGCTCCAGGCTCATCTGGCGGCTCACCGCCTGCAACAGTCAGGGTCGTGTTGTCAACAGAAAATAACTCAAATGAGAGTATGAGAGTATGAAAATCACTATTATGGCATTTTCCCCTGGGCTGTTGCTTTAAGTAGAAGTGTCAAACATTTACAGAGCAACTAATAGTGAAATAGCCAATTAAATTTACCTAAGTTTCTATTAATTAAAGTACATTCGAGCGGAGGTTGAATGAAAGCAACTTCCTGAGAGAATGTTCTTTACACAACTTTTTAATAGTAGAAATTGTCACATTAAAAGCAAAGACGACTAGAGCCGAGGCAACGCTCAAACCACTGACTGCAGAACATTACAGCCGCACACGACATGTAACCATGGGTCCTTCAACTCATTCCTAGTCCAATCACATTCCCTTTTACTTGTTATCTTCTTCTTCTCCTCTTTTCCATTTTTTCCGTTTTCTCCAATAAAGTAGTTTTAACAAAGAATGGAAGAACTGAAATTGTTGTATAATTTTCCAAATGTGGACAAAAAAGTTTGAACTACCAAAAGCAATAGCAACAATAAGAAGTTTTTTCCCAACAAAACTAAATATAATGCTGTATGTGTGGATCCACTAAGCTAGAATAAAAAGGAAATGAGAAGAAAAGATTACATTTAATAGTCACCATATTAGACTAGGTGAAACACTGCACCTGAATGCAAAATAATTCACTCAGATTTGAGGTTCCTTACAAACTATTTAGTTTTGTTGTAACTGTGTATTGCTACTATGCTGCATGGGGCGACAGTAGTTCAGTTGGTGCAGAATTGGCCTTTGAGCCAGAAGGTCGTGGGTTCGAGCCCACCTCAAGACTTTCACCATCGACTCCCACTGATGTCTGCTGTCGATGTGTCCTTGGCAAGACACTTAACCTCTGGGAACACCAGGTGCCACAATGGGGCAGCTGCGGCTGTAAAGTGCCAATTGCCAAGAATGAGTCTGGTGTGTGTGTGAATGGTTGGTGGTCGGAGGGGCCGATGGCACATACTGGTTGCCTCGCTTCTGTCAGTGTGCCCCAGGGCAGCTGTGGCTACAGTAGTCGAATACATAATATTTGAATACCTACTATACAAAATACAGTGTCCCATGGTCAGAATACATACACATTCGTTGCTAAAACTATTTATCAGTGAAAAACATTTTAAAATTCAGCTAAAAACATGCAAATGTAACAATTGGAAATCCAAGCCACTCATTTAACACAAAAGGAATGATTATTTTAACCCAACCGTAGCAGTGAAGCCTCTGACCTGATGGTTGAGTTGCTCATAGCTTGAGTTGAAGTTTTCTAGTTTTTCACTGATGATTTCATCCAGGATTCCGCCGTCGATCAGCGTCTGGCTGAGCTCTCTGATCTGTGTCCGGTTATCTGATGGATGTCGTAGGACGCTCTCTAAGGACTGGCAAAGAAGGAAATATGCAGATATACATGTTAAAATCATTAAGAAGAAAAATACATCTTTTACCAGATATATATAAAATGAATTGACAAGAAATGGCGAGCAAAAGGTCAATTCACAACATTCACAATATTCACAAATGAAATCGTCCAATAGATTTAAAAGCAAAAACAAATTATTAGAAATCAAAAAGACTTGAAAACAAACTAATGCAGTGGCGATGCAGCTACGCCTCGATGAGAGCATGATGAGAAATCCCACATTAAAGAATCCAAGACAAAAATGAGAGAGTTGCCAAGTCTGGATCTTTCTATTTCCCAAAGTTATGGACCGCAACAGCCCCAGACAAGACGCTGATGAAGATGCAGAGAAGATGATGGAGGAAGGAGGTGGTGGAAGAAAGAATTTTGGTCAGGAACTATGGTAGAATCAAGGTTTTGTCTTCAAGGGTTTTCACTTTTCATCTTCTCTATGTGAAGGAGGCAGAGGCAGTGTCCTGACTAGAGCGGATTTGACACGTCGGCTGTGGGCATTTTACAGATATAGCAGCGAACCAGGCAAATACAGACAAAGTCAAAGATAATGAGGTTAAATAATATGCTATTTGATATTCAGGACAAGTAATTCAACCTTCAAGGATAGTAACATATGAAGAATGTTTATCTAATCTTCATGATTAAAGTATAAATGACTCCTGACATGTTTCACGTCCGCTCACTTGTTTAACACTTACAGACGTGAATGTGTCTTCAAAAGAAATACATCAACTAACTTTGTAACCCGGGGCAAAGTTTCTGTCATGCAAACAATAGCGTGAGTTTGGGGAGTCGGCGTTTCAGATTTAGAACAGATTTAGAACAGTCTTCTTGAAAAATGTGAGACAGGCTTCTACTGTGACAATGTTCAAATCCAGGTTGAAAACAGTTCTATTTAGCTGTGCATCCAACAGAATTGTATTTATTTATTGACGTTTAGGAAAGTCCCGCTGTGATTTCAGTGGAGTCCTGGTCTCAGAGAGAGGGAACAGGAATGGGGTCGGGGAGGGTGTTATGGGGGACTATTGTACATATTTTGAGAAAACCTACGCAGACACAGGGAGAACATGCAAACTCCACTAGAAAAAGGTCTGAGGGTGGAATCAAACCCAGGACCTCCTCGCTGTGGAGCACAAACCACTTTAATGTATGGTTTTAATGTTTCTTTTCTTGTTTAGTTAAGCACTTTGACTTGCACTATGTATAAACTGCTATGTAAATAAACTTGCTTTGCCTGTGCCATGTCTTGCATTTGTATAAAAAAAGAACCCTTTCCTTCCACAAAAAAAATAAGGAATGGAGGTATTTGTTTTGCTGAATTACCGGTGGATTTATGCACATATAAGCCAACTTTATATTCTTTGTATTATTGTTTTATTTTTGTTTTTTATGCTTTAGTATGCTTTGTCCTGTTTGGGATTGTACTTTTGTAGCTTTTGTGTTAATATAGAGTTATTTTTGTGTTAATGATGTTGTCTTTATGGTGGTAAAACAGACAAAATAAAAGTAAAAGCTTCCCTTGCCTTGCTTTGGGTGTTTAACAGAACATTTGCATTTGACAGAGATTCATTCATTATCACTTGTACCTCCAAAGCTTCGTTTACAGCTTCAGTGCTCTCTGGGAGGTTTTCCGTGGCCTGAACTTTCTCCTGGAGGGTGTTCAACCAGCTTTGCTCCAGATCCAAATACTGAAGCAGCTCCATCCAACAAGACCAGACCTCCTGCATGACATACACACAAACATTATAATGGCATTTCAGAAAAGGACATCGAGTTCATGCAAGAAAGAGGACAGAGTAGTATGTAACTTCAGGGTAGCTCTAATCAAGAGCTTGAATTTACTTAGTTGACATTAGCCCTGCAGACTGTGAGAAACAAGGGTCATTCAAAGAATAAAATGCCTGAAAGAAATGTTCCTTGGCAAAATAAATTAAATGAAAGCCCCGGGGGAGTTAACTTGTTATTTTGTGAACAAATCAGGCTTGTATAGCCCTAAATCACAATAGTAGTTATCTCAAATGACTTTTCAAAACCATCGAATTCACCAACACAGATCAGAGAATCAAACAGTTCTATGGACGAGCCCTGTGAGTCACTATTTGACGCGGAGAGCTGATTGGCTGAGTGAGGGTTGTCCTCTCGTTTTCACTTATCTGTCTAAAAAACCTGAAAGATGTGACTGAGCCCAAAAATACATGCATGTGACAACTATAACTGAACTGTTTTAACGAGTGAGGACATATTGAAGAGCGAAGACTTATTACATAGTTCCCGGTTTGTGATTTGAAAGTTAGATCTATCTATAGCCGAAAACCATTTCCTCCGAAGAGGGTGGTTGACGACAGGAGGCAGTTCCGATCACACACTCCTTCTTCCACATTCACACCTCTAGGTCCCTCAGGCAAGCAGAAAGTTAGATACCCCAGCTGTAACTGTTCCATAAACAAACAGATGGACCAGTATGTTTTCAAGTCGTTATCTGCATTAAGTACCTCCAGCGTGTGACACTTGCTCTTGAAGCGCTCACAGAGCTTTTGGTAGTTGCCCAGGACTCCCTCGAGCTCCGCGGTCAGCCCTGACCCATGACCTCCACCAGGGAGCGATGCTTGCGACACCAGCGCGTTGATGTTGTCTTTCAGGATTTTCACTTTCACTTCTTTCTGCAGCACATCCTCTTTAGCTTTCTGTTCAGATCAGAGGCAGAGGACTTTCTTAATCCCACCAGAAACATTAAAAAACATTATAAACACACAGGAAATGTCATGACACAAAACAAATAACATAAAACAGCCAGGACTAAACATGGGGAGGCAGCATTTCAGATTTATGCAGCTAAAATTGATGCAGCTAAAAAATATTAAAATTCAGGATATAAAACATTCCCTTTAGCTGTGCATTAGAGCTGGGCGGTATAAGTGTGTGTGTGCTCGATATGGAGCAGTCCTGTATCTAATTATAGCTAATCTTCTTTAAATGAAATACAATTAAAAACATCTCACTTTAATGAATACTTTGTTTCATAAAGTCTATTTGTGGTGAAATCAGACACGTCGATGTTGTGTGTGGCGTGGAACATGTTTGCTTCGTCGATTTGCAAACATTCAGGTGTCCCCCCATGGGTGTGAGACAGGTTAGTTTTACCCGACTGATGATGCAATAGTAATCCTGCTCTTAGGGAGACAGTCAACGAGTGCACTCCCCTATTGAAGGACACTTTTCTGTTGAGGGCGCTTATAGCTCAAGTGCCGTCAGAAATAGGACAGGCCCTAATACCAATCGCTTCTATCAGGTTAATGATGACAGCTGCTGTGGCCAGATGCATTAAAGCTGGTGTACCTCATTTTTTTGTGAGCAAATTATGTGCAAGTTCAATCAAGTCTATTTCTTTCTTTACGCAAAGAGTTAGAGGGAACCAGCCGAAACAAAGTATAAACGGAACGTATTTTGTAAAACAAGCTTAAGTCTACCTTCATCTCGTCCAGTGCAGCCTCCAGCTCCTCTGAGCTCTTGTATTCAAAGTCCCTCATGAGAAACTCCTCGTCCGTCTGTGCCATCCACTCCTGCATCTCCGCCAAATCCTTCCTCAAATTCACCTGCCTCTCTTGGCTCTCGCACACACCATCTCTGTGTCTCAGCAACTACAAACAACAAATAAATAGAACTAGTTAAATCAATATCAACAAGAAGAGAAGCATGTTATAAATACAGTGGGTTGCAAAAGCATTAAAGGAGCCATATAATGCAAAATCAGCCATTTTTTTGTTTTTAGATCCATCCATGCTAATATGAGGCTCCGCCCCTTCTCTCAAAAAGCTCCTGTCTCAGTCCTGTAATAGTATGATTTCATTGCACCACTATGACCTCACGCTGAGAGATTTTTTCCTACTTTTAAAACAATAGTATTACTAATTTTTTTCTCATCTCTTTTTTTGACTTTGGATCTGTCCTCCGAGACGAGTGCTGTTTTGATTTAAGGTTCTACAAAAATAAATTGAATTGAATTGAATTTCAGTATAAAAGAACCAAATACAATCTTTATGTTAGTGGTTATAGCGTGAACGTTCACGCTGTATTTACATTTTCCCAACCCACTGTAAGCATTCACTCATGGAGGGTTTCTCACCTGTTTGCTGAGCTGGTCCCACCTGCTTTGGCTTTCGTTCAGTTTGTCTTGTCCCCACTGCGACAAACCTTCTATAGCGGTCGCGTTTACGGCCTTCACGTTCTCGGTCATCTGCTTTAGCGAACTTTCCACAGACTCCATCTCATTCACATGCTCCTGGATAGAAACAACACATTTCAAACAGGGCCGGGACTTTAATGCACTAATTAAGATTAATTAATTACACAAAAATGAATATTTTTAACGCATTTTAACGCATTGCGCATCACAGAAAATGTTTGTATGGGATGATTTTTGGCGGACCAATCATACTGGTGCACTGGTCGGCCAGAGTTGGTTAGACAGAAAAAATGATTAAGCTTATGTATTCAATCCTTATTTAATGGTATACTAAAAGTCCATGTGAAACAAAATCACTGTTACAAAGTTTTTTTTTAGACTTAATTAGAAGTCTCTGCCCTAATTTAAAAACAATAAATTCAGATTCAGACTACTTTATTCATCCCATTTGTTTGAGCAGCACAGGGCATAAAAACATAATAAATCATCATCATACAAGTCAGTTTTGGAATAAATACTTTGCACTGATTGAGTTCTTCTTGAAGATTCTCCCCGAGCCCTGAAGCGTCCCGGGACAGCAGCTCCTGCACCGCCTCCAGCCATCGCTCCACTTCCACTGAACGCACCTGACGATTAATACAGCCATAGGAAAATCAGGATTTACTGCATTTGAAATTGTGTATTGCAGGTTTGAAATAAAATCTAACTAAACGAGCTGATACTTTTCTGTCTTTATATTCACTCAACAACAAGACCAAGATCCACATATGACAAATATGACACATTTTAAAGTTACCAGCAAAACATTCCCAAAGTGCAGCCTAACATGATAACATATAAAAAGTAGAAAGTAGAGAGATAATAGTTAAGACAATAACAGTAATAAAGACAATAACAATACAAAAAAGTCTGCTTTAGAAGAAACATTAAACTTAACTTTACTTAAATTTAAATGTAATCTAATTTAAATCTTATAACTGAAATGAAAATACTATATTCATAAAACACACATTGCAAAGTGCCTTTTGTGACCTTGATTTGAGAAATGTACTATATAAATAAAGACTACTTACTAACATTGTTAAAATAATGATCAATGCGTGGTATCATCTAAAACTAGATGTATTGATTTACTGATCTGCTGGTACCTGAGTGTCTTTCATGCTTCCCAGGACACACTGCAGAGTCCCCAGCTCCTCTCGAGCCCTGGACGACAACTGGCTCCATCTCTGCTGCTCGGCTGGGTCTGTAGCTTGCTGGTTTTGTTCAATGTCCAGACAAAGGCTCTATAAAACAAATAACAAATATTAAGGTTAGATATTATGCTAGCAATAATGCATTTGTCTTTCCAGGCACTTTACAACTCAATGCATTATCTACTTTCACTTCCTATCTCACTAGATAGTATCTCCCACAGGGACACTACTGGAAACAAGAACACTACTTACACGAATTACAACGGATGTAAATAAACAAAATTATGCACAGTATATCTGGCAATTATCAGTGTCAAAGAGACCTGAGAAAAGTGCAGCTCGGGGGCCACATCCAGCTTGATCCACATTTCTATAAAGCCCCCGGACTCTTCCAAATCGATAACCTCAAACCGGTCTGTTGCTTATTTAAATGAATCAGGCGTCAATACCCACTAAAAGCTT